CGCGTCGATGAGGATATGAAGAAGTCTTCGTCGTAATCTATAAAAAGAATTTAGCAATTTGTATCTCTTGACAATACGAGGTGTTTGTGCAGCGCTCGTGGAATAATTACCTGCGCCAAACGCGATGCCAGCACGCAGGGGGTATAAGTCGAGCGCATTGTGTTCACTGAACAGCTGCCCGTAGTCCAGCTCCGCCTCCTCCGCGCTGCCCGCCTCCCAGTCTATGTACAAATAGGTGCATATAGAATAATATGTGACCTAGGGAAGGCGTACATGCTTTAAGCTAGAGGAATGTACATTACCGCAGTACGTAGAGAAGTCCGGCAAGTCCGGCGGCGCGTCAACTGTGGCCTCGCAGACCTCGCGCGGGTACTCGTACACCGAATGGTACTTCTGACGCTTGAACACCACGCGCTTCTTGCTGTCCTGTATCACAGATTACCTGTCACGTTGCTGTCCAAATAGAATTGCTAGTAGGTAGTTAATGAACAAACCGGCGTCGCGTGGTCGAGGCTGCGCAGCGAGGACTTGGCGGGCTCGGCGCGGCAGTCCCAGGAGGAAGGGACAAACTCCACCTCGTCGCCCTCCGAGCCCGAGGAGCCGGAGGAGCCGGAGGAGGCGCGCTCCGCCAGCTCTGACAGCTCGGGGCCCTCTTGGGCCTGTGGTGCACCTCCCTCACGGTGCTGCATGGTGTTAACAAACTTTTTAATACATGTAAAATCTTGAAATGTTCAACACGATGAACATTATGAGGAAATTGTTAATTGGGGAGTACTGTTATTTATTCACTTTGTATAGCTAGAATAAAGTAAAATAGATCTAGATATGCTTTTACAATTTTCATGGTTCATTTTTAATGTCGTGATGAAATATGAATTTATAACACAAAAACTAATAAAGGCAATTGAAACTTTGCTGCATGTGTTTAATTTTTGTATAACAACAATGATATTCTACGATTCGATTAACATTTACGATAAAAAAGATTTTCAAGATAATCCTCCTTAAAAATTTTATATCACAAAAGGTTTTTCATTCCGGAATTTTCGTCAGGTGTCTTAGTATGATTTATTAGTGTTCATAAGTATGAAATTATTTATCACCTTTTTCGTTCTGAAAACACTTATTAGGGACCTTACAAATAAAATATAGCGTTCATTGAATGTAACAAGTTGTGGGAGTAATATAAAAACGCAGGCAAAGCGAAAAGAAACCCAAAAACCTTAGTGTAGTTGAGGCAATGTTTGATTACATTATTTTTAATTTATCTTAAAATCTCCTTGAACATCAAAAATCACCTCAAAGTTAAAACAACTGAAGCCTGCCACATACGTTTTTGACAGTTTTAATTAAACACTGTTTTCAACTTTTCAGTTCAGTCGACAAAGACAGTATGTAGCGAGCCTAAGTTTTACCTGTCAAATTGTCATATAAGTTATAGAATGGGGACTTTGTGTAAGCAATATTGAGTACTCACGTGTTGGAAGTGCGTGGAGGGCACGAGGCGGGTGTCGTGGCCGTCGCCGTCCTACGCACACGGACACACATGCAAGCACACCGACACCACACGTTTGGTACACATGTACTGGTTAGATAGCAATAAAACCTTACTCTTATATCTTTCGCTTTTAGCTGATTATTTATAGTCTATTTAGATTATAATTTAAAACATATTGAAGTTTGTATCAAGAGGTATGGAATGTTTTTTTTTTAATTTGAACGTCTAACTAAATAAATAAACCTCTAGTCTGGAGGGTTCAATTACAAATTAGAGGTCTGTTTGTATACAGTAAAATGTATACACACAGTTTATAGCGAAAAGCGAAAGATATTCAGTTATTTAGTGTCCTGTACATGTATACAGTATAACTATGAATACTAGGGTCTATCTACCATATCCTGGGAATTTATGTACCTTTATAGTGTTTATTAAAAAGCAAACCATCAAATAAAATTTCAAACAAGAATGTGGGTTTGTGGGTTTTATTTAAAAACTACAATGTTTAAAGGACTCAGTCATTAATCACACAACACAATTTTGGGGTTAACAGACACCACACAAGGCTATTTATACAACACGATTTAACGGTGAGTTTCCACTGTCGTAGCTGTTTAATATTGCCATCTCTTTCATTTGCTTTAAAAAATCAGAGACAGTAATGTTTATGTGCTGCAACAGTTGAAAATCACGACAGTAATTAAACTATGTTCAATGTAGCAAACGAATTTTCAAAACCAATCATAATTTAAAATACTAATTCAATAAAGTTTTTATATAATTGTTAGTATTGGACATAGTGTTAATTATTTTAAAAATATTTTGGTGTAATTGTTGGGGGCAGGAGTTCAAGACCAAAACCAGATATTAAAGTATTTGCAAGTCATTCGGACTACAAGCGTCATTTCTCATGTGAGAAGGACAGATATATCGAAGCATTCCATCCCCAAAGGTTCTGTGCAAACTCACCCTCCAAATGAACTCTCCGCTGGATGAATTAGTAGAATGCGAGTCACTCTCGCTGTCCCACTCTTTCAGTATATCTGTGACGGTGTCGGGTTTGCTGTCCTGCTCGCACTCGGGTGACGTCGGATCAGTAGACGAATCTTGGTTGAAGGATGTGCT